TGCCTGGCCCCCTGGCGCGCGCGCCGCCCATCTCCGGCGCGCCTCCAGCGGTTCCGGGGCTTGCTTCCCCGCCTCGGGGTGCTGCCCAGCAGCCGGGCCTCGTCGAGCCATGGGGCGAGGACGTGCGCAGGTCATGAAGGGGAAGTGGCATCCCTCGGCTGGGATGCAGCTCCTGGGAGGTTGAATCTGTCCTCGGCCCTGTGATTTCTCATGGCGCGAATCCGTGTGGAACTGGCCCAGCCTGATGAATCCGTGTGAACCCGAATCAGACTTACTGACAATCAAATGCAGGCTAGCATGCCCGAGCATTCTGCGCAATTTGGATCAACCGCCCTTCAATCTGGACAGCAGTTCCAAATCCTGCCCGCGCCACCCTTTTTGACACTTGTTTTTGACAAGGACATGCGCTCACGTATCCGAGCACTTGATACTCTTCGGGCGCGCCCAGGACCTGGACAAGTCGCTCCAGAGCGTTCCAGAACGCTCTCCGAGCGTTTCAGAGCCCTCCAAAGCGGCCGCGGTCGCCCGAAATGTCCCCCAGATCGCCGGATCTCAGAGATCCACGATTTGCCCCGGTCCGGTTTTGTCCCGATCTTTTGCCCTCCTCTAGCTTGGGCCATTCTCTTCACCCCCCATTCAGGTCACCCCCTCTCCAGGGTCCTTCTCTTCAAGCCGCCGGATCTCAGAGGTCCGCCAGTTCTGCCCTGGTTAGGGGGCCACATGTGAACCCTACCCCCACCCCTCACAATTTCTGAGGGGGAGGGTGGGGTAGGGTTCACATGTGGCCCCCTACTGGTCCAGGCCTCGTCTGAATTCTGGGCCTTCGATGCCTCTGCAGCCACACCTGGCGTCGTGAAGGGACATGCCCGGGCTGCGTGCCTGCACGCTCCGGCGATGGCCTGTGGCCCGCAGGAGGGAGCGACAGGAGTTTGATCGATAGGGATTTGATCGAGACGCGTCAGGGACGTCCTACAGTCGGGGCCCTGAAGAAGGAACCCTTTTCGTTGGGGAGGGGCTCCGTGTTCCTTAGTTGTTTCGCAGCTCGCCCTAGGATTTCCTTAGGTCTTCGATCGGAATTCGAAGCTTAACTTATGGAAAAAAGGGGCCTCGTTCCTTATTTAGGATTCCTTAGGTCAACGCCCCGACTGTACAGTCAAGACGCTGAAGTAAGGAACAGCTTGGGTACGAGAGTGGTTCGATGCTCCCTAGGTCATTTTGTGGTTGTCCCTCTAGCCTTCCTCGTGCACGCTGGCGCTTTTTGGGCCAGAACGGAGCTTCGTTCCTTGTTTACCGTTCCTTATTTAACCGCTTCGCTCATTCCGCCGGCCCATACAGTCTCATGTCTGCCGTTTGCCCGAGGGCCTGGTGTCAATGCGGCGCTTTGGGGGTTCCTGGGGCCGCTTGGGGGACTCCTGGGGCGCTCGGGGGGGCATTTGGGGGGCCTCCTGGGGCCGCTTGGGGGACTCTTGGGGGCCTCCTGAGGGCCTCGTGGGGGCCTCTTGGGGCCTCTTAGGGACCTCTTGGGGCCTCGTAGGGGCTTCTTAGGGCCGAGGGCTCGAAATGTTGTTTCGTGTTCCCTCTCTGGGGCCCCTTTGGGGGCGTTCTTGGGGCCCTCTTGGACCGTCTTGGAGGCTTCTTGGGCCGTCTTCGAGCCCTCTTGGGCCATCTTGGGGCCCTCTTGGGGGCCTCTTGGGCCCTCTTGGGGCGATCTTGGGGGCCTCTTGGGCCGTCTTGGGGCGTCGGGAAGCCGAAAAGGTGGACGCTCCAAAATCTCTCAAAAACCTAAGGAAAAACAATTATTTTTGCCTCCGGGGGCCCTCTTGGGAGTGCTCTTGGAGGCCTCTTGGGGCGTCTGGGGGCTATTTTGGGCGTCTTGGAGCGATCTTGTGGCATGTCGGACCCCTCGTGTACCATCTTGGGGGCCTCTTGGGGGCCTCTTGGCCTTTCTTGGGGCTCTCGGGGACGTCTCGGAGCCCTGTTGGTGCGCTCATGGAGCGCTCCTGGAGCGCTCTGGGGGAGTCTCCCGGGGGTCGGTCGGGGATCGCCCGGGGTACTTTTCGTCCGGGGACCCCCAGGGGCCCGTTTTCTTCCTTCCAGTATCCAGGAGGGACAAAAAAACATTGACACAATGAATCGTCGACTCCCAGGAGTGGGGAAACATGGGAAGTGGGGGGGGGAGGAGACGAAAACCTCGAAACTATGAGAATGGCGATCCTGGGATTTTTGTGTGGTTCGCCACGGCCGCCCACCGCGCTCTGGCCCTGCGCGCCTGGCTGTTGCTGCCCGCCTGGCTGCTCATCGTCGAACTCTTCGGCGTCTGAGCGTCCTCTCGGCAGTCCCCCTTCCCTCTTCGCTCGCCGGCCAATCCGCTAGTTTGTGCCCCTATCTAGCTCCTTGCTGGAGCGGATTTCGCCGCCTCGCCGCTGACGGAAAAAAAGTGTGTGTATTTATTCCCCAAACAGCTTGCTGAACGGGGTGCTGTTGTGATAGAAGCTAATTCCGGCCGAGGGAAAGCTAAGCAGAGACATCCTCAAACAAATGTGGTGGTCCGGCCCGTTTCGCCTGAGACATCCTCACAACTCTCGTTTCTGAGTTGTCCGGGAGTGAGCGTTTCGCCTGAGACATCCTCCTATATCTGAGCTCTGAGAGGCCGCGCGAGAGGTGGTCCGGGCCGTTTCGCTTGAGACATCCTCGAAACTCTGAGCTCCCAGATGCCGCGCGAGAGGTGGTCCGGGCCGTTTCGCCTGAGACATCCTCGCAACTCTGAGCTCCAAGATGCCGCGCGCGAGGTGGTCCGGCCCGTTTCGCCTGAGACATCCTCGAAACTCTGATCTCCCCGATGCCGCGCGCGAGGTGGTCCGGCCCGTTTCGCCTGAGACATCCTCGAACTTCTGAGCTCTGAGATGCCCTGCGCGAGGTGGTCCGGCCCGTCTCGCCTGAGAAATCCTTGCAACTCTGAGATCTGAGATGCCGTGCGCAAGGTGGTCCGGCCTGTTTCGCACAAGATATTCTCGCAACTCTGAGCTCTCAGATGCTGCGCAAGAGGTGGTCCAGCCTGGGGGCCCAGAAGGCCACATGTTACATATCCTCCATGGGACCCTGCGAGCCTCAGGAGGCCCCAGAGAGGTCCAGGAGGCCGCAGGACGCCCAGGACAGGCCCCAGGGGCCCCCAGGAGATTCCCAGGAGGCCCCAGGAGGCCCTCTATCAGAACGTGTCAAGTTAATACACATCCGGTGTCGATTCGTTGATTTTTCCTGCTCTTGTGCCCCCCCCTCCATTTGGAGAGGCCCAAGCGGCCACAGGTTAGATATCCCCCCTGGGAGCCCCAAGATGCTTCAGGAAACCTCAGGTGGAGTTCAGGAGGCCACAGGAGGCCCAGGAGGAAGCTCCAGGAGGTCCCCAGGAGGCCCAGGAGGCACCAGGAGGCCGCAGGACGCCCAGGACAGGCCCCAGGGGTCTCCAGGAGATTCCCAGGAGGCTCCCAGGAGGCCCCAGGAGGCCGCTTATCAGAACGTGTCAAGTTAATACACATCCGGTGTCGATTCGTTGATTTTTCCTGCTCTTGTGCCCCCCCCCCTCCATTTGGAGAGGCCCAAACGGCCACAGGTTAGATATCCCCCCTGGGAGCCCCAAGAGGCTTCAGGAAACCCCAGGTGGAGTTCACGAGGCCACAGGAGGCCCAGGAGGAAGCTCCAGGAGGTCCCCAGGAGGCCCCAGGAGGCACCAGGAGGCCCCCGCAACTCGGAGCTCTGAGACGCCGCGCTCGAGGTGGTCCAGCCCGTTTCGCCTGAGACTTCTTCGCAGCACGTTTCGCCCGAGACATCGTCGCAACTCTGGGGTCCGAGATGCCGCGCGCGAGGTGGTCCAGCCCGTTACGCTGGAGACATCCTCGCAACTCTAGGCTCCGAAATGCCGTTCGCGATGAAGAGGAGGTGGAGGAGGAGGAGGAGGAGGAGGAGAAGGAGGAGGAGGAGGAGGAGGAGGAGGAGGAGGAGGAGGAGATGGAAGGGAGAAGGAGGAGGCGGATGATGTGCATGAGGGAGCAGGCAGGAGGAGGGGGAGGTTCCAGAGAGCTTCAGGAGGCCGCAGGACGCCCAGGACAGGCCCCAGGGGTCCGCAGGAGATTCCCAGGAGGCTCCCAGGAGGCCCCAGGAGGCCCTCTATCAGAACGTGTCAAGTTAATACACATCCGGTGTCGATTCGTTGATTTTTCCTGCTCCTGTGGCCCCCCCCTGTATTTGGAGAGGCCCAAACGGCCACAGGTTAGATATCCCCCCTGGGAGCCCCAAGATGCTTCAGGAAACCTCAGGTGGAGTTCAGGAGGCCACAGGAGGCCCGGGAGGAAGCCCCAGGAGGTCCCCAGGAGGCCCCAGGAGGCACCAGGAGGCCCCCGCAACTCGGAGCTCTGAGACGCCGCGCTCGAGGTGGTCCGGCCCGTTTCGCCTGAGACTTCCTCGCAGCACGTTTCGCCCGAGACATCGTCGCAACTCTGGGGTCCGAAATGCCGCGCGCGAGGTGGTCCAGCCCGTTACGCTGGAGACATCCTCGCAACTCTGGGTTCCGAGATGCCTTTCGGGATGAAGAGGAGGTGGACGAGGAGGAGGACGAGGAGGCATGTTTTAACATGCCATGCCAGCCCGCACTAGGCGGGCACGCAATCGACCTTGGAAACCGCAGTGGGTCTAAAAACCCTGTTTGGGGATACTGCACTCCGGCTATAATTTGTGTGTCCTTGGGCCCCTTCACTGCGTATCGCGGGCTGGGCCTGGGACTCGAGCTGACGGGGCGCCCTTTGCCCTGGACGCCCCCTGGGGCCGCAGAGGGCGCACGGCTGGGAGGGGGTCCGTGCGAGGGATTCTCGCTGCCAGGATTAAGTTGGGCCTGTCCCTCTACAAGGGGAATGTTCAAAGTAGTTAAGTAGTCGGGGGACGGTCGTCCAAAATCCGCCTGTGGGGGGACACGCCCGACCTAAGCCCAGTGCGAGGGATCACGCTGCCAGGACGGAATTGGACGACTTCCTCAAAAGCGTCAAGGAGCTGGCGGCCGACCTGGGGGACGAGGCGCGGGCGTCGCGCCGCCCCCCGCCGGCCGGCCACCCTCGTGCAGCCGCGGGTTGCCCGCCGACGCTGCGGCGACTCGAGCCTTTCCGGCCTTTGAGGGGCTTGTCAGAAGCCTTCCGGCCTTTGAGAGGCTTTCCGTGCCTTCGGGCAATGTCCAGGAGACTTCTCAGAAGGCCAGGGGACTTCGAGCCTTGTGTGACAATGCCTGCCCCCTCTCACTTTCCCCCCAGGTTCGCCCTGGATCGATCCTCCTCGTCCTGGATCCATCCTGCATGGCCGAGTTTTTCTCGTCCTGGATCGATCCTCCTCGTCCTGGATCGATCCTGGATCGATCCTCCTCGCACTGGATCGATCCTCCTCGTCGTCCTGGATCGATCCTCCTCGTCCTGGATCGATCCTCATCTTTCTATTCCGCATCGACCCTGCACGGCCGAGTTTGCCGTTGGCCGCCTGCCAGCGGCCCGCAGCCTGCGCCGAGCTGGTGCGTGGAGGAGAGTTGGCGTGGGGTCGCAGCGCGCGAAAGAAAGATATTGGTCCTCCAGGAGTTGCCTTAAGTCGGGCGTGCCCCACTACAGGAGGAATATTCAAAAATAGTTGGGTAATTTTGGAGCATTTGGCTTTTCTTCCAAAATTTGCCTGTAAGGGGACATGCCCGATCTAAGGCTAAAGAAAGGCACTGGTCCTCCAGGACTGGCCGAAGCGCGGCTTCGGCCTCTCGAGTAGCACTCCTGCGTTCCCGATCCACCGGTCCAGCACAGGGCCTTACTCCAATTGGCTCAGGAGCCCGTTTCTTTCTTGTTTGGGGCATGACGGGCGTCATGGCCCCCGCCCCCCCCCAATGATGTAACGCTCCCCCCCCCCCCCGCAGTGCGCTCTGGGCACTGCCGCCGTGCGCATTGGGATCCGCGTAGGTGTCCCGTAGGAATCCGGATAGGAGTCTGGTCCGCGGTCGTCGTCGTCGTCGTCGTCGTCGTCGTCGTCGTCGTCGTCGTCGTCGACGACGTCGACGTCGTCGTCGTGGTCGTCGTCGTCGTGGCTCGTGGTTCGTCGCTCGTCGCTCATCGTCGTCGTGCGCGCGGACGCGGTTGGAGCCTGTTTTTTATTCCGGGCCGATGACGGCAATCATCTGGGGGGGGTTGAGGGGGTCGATGGCGTCACGTTTCGCGCCGGCGGCGTCTGGGAATACCTAGGAATGACGGAGGACGGGTAGCACCAGCATGTAGGCGGCGATCTGCATGACAACGCCTGTTTACACCACAGTGCGTGCGTGCACCACAGCGCCTGTGTACACCACGCCGCCTATGTACACCACAGCAACCGCGTGCAACACAGCGTCAATTTGTGCCATCGTGCTTGCGGGCACAACAGCTATTGTGTACACCAGAACGCCAGCATACACCACATCAGCCGTGTGCAACACAGCACCAGTGTACACCACAATGCCTGCGTGCGTTGCAGTTTCTGTGAGCACGACGGTGCTTGTGTGCACCACAACAATCGCGTGCAACGCAGCACCACTGTTGTATATAGAGAGTTATAATGAATCCTTATGACGACGGAACCCGTATGGGCAATTGAGCGCCGCTGGAATCTACGAGTCTTGTGGAGTCCGCCCGCATCACCCTAACTCCTCTCCTTTGCGTCCAGGAGGCTCCAGCTAAATTGGCCGTCCGAGAACCAAGTGGACCGATTCAATCGACCATTTTGCGGTGCACGCTGAGACGCGCACGTGCGTTGTAGCGCCAACCCGCACGACAGGGGGCTAGGAGGAGAAGGAGGAGGAGGAGGAGGAGGAGGAGGAGGAGGAGGAGGAGGAGGACGAGGAGGAGGAGGACGAGGAGGAGGTGGAGATGGAGGAGGAGGGAAGAAGGAGGAACGTCGCATTCGATTATCAGCACTTTCCTGGCGTGGCGTTTAGTTGCCCGCAGCAAATCCTCACGTACATGCTCCTTCTACCTGTCCCGTGCATGCAGGCATTGTGGTGTACACCAGCGCTGCGTTGCACGCGGATGTTGTGGTGTAGACAGGCGTTGTGGCGTGCACAGGCGCTGCGGTGCACGCAAGCACTGTTGTGTACGCAGGCGCTATGTTACACATGGTTGCTGCGGTGTACACGTGTACACTGGCGCTGTAGTGTACGCGAGCACTCTGGTGTACACATGCGCTGCGTTACACACGGTTGTTGCGATGTACGCCGGCGCTGTGGTGTACGCGCGCTGTGGTGCACGCGAGCGTTGTGGTGTACACAGGCGCAGTGGGGCAGATCGCCACCTACATGCTGCTCGCGTCGTCGTCGTCGTCGTCGTCGCTCGTCGCTCGTTGCGTTGTGCGCGCGTGCGCGGTTGTGGTGCCAGAGCCACACGGCTGGGGGGGGGGGCGTTCCATCATACCCCTCCCCGCCCCCCCCTTTGACGCCCATCATCGTCGAACATAAGGAAG